ATGTGTGCCTAATTAGTGCAGGTTAAAGAAAGTAATTAAAAATAAATTCATTTAGTTGTTCTGATTTACAGAATATATAATGTGTCTGAGATTTTAAGTTTTTTTGGTAGTTACAGGTCACAATGCACAAGGAGTAGAATAAACTTTTAATGTGGAGTGATTTTAGAATTCGGTATGTTTGTCTTGTAAGCTTAATAGCCATAAAAGAAAACAAAATTGCCACACAACAGTATATATTTATATAAAGTAGACATCACAGGCTATTGTCCTAAGGTTGTTTTGACACTTTCTACGTAGCCATTTCACCGCCAATCGCTGCTAAATATTGGAGTAAAATTTAGTTTTTTGGGGTTTTTGGCACACAAACTTATAACAAAGAACTTCTCATGTGTATTGTGTAAAGTTGGTGTATTCCTGTACAAAGTTTTATTTTGTGTTCAGTTACTTCTGCTGAGTACAACAATACCCCCATTGTATATCGTTGTCACTATTTCGTGCAGCTACAGTGCCATATAGGAGATCTGTCCGTTTCAACATTTACAGTAGAATTTTGAGAGGTGGATTTAATGGGCCTATGCTTCAATTTTGGGTATTATAGCAGTTTGACTGTTCAAAAAAAACCCTACCATTTGTAAAAGTAGACACTCCAGGGTATCTCATATGGTGCATATTGTGCCCCCATTTTTTCACCAATATATGCCAAAGTATGTGGTAAAAAATAATTTTGGGCATACATTTTTGATGGGCATTTTGTACATTTCATATGTGTCACTAAGTTCAAACACCCCAAATTATGCTCAGCTAAGTCTTAGAGTAAAACAATATGCCCAATGTATGACCTAGACACTATTTTGTGAAGTTACACTGCTGTAAAAGAGACATGACAAGTTAAGGTTTTTAAGTGTGAATTTTCATGGAGGGTTTTGATGCGTCCGTGTCCCACTTTGGAGCACTTGAGCAGGCTACATATTACAACTACACCATAAAGGAATACCATTTCTTAAAGAACACATCCCAGGGCATTTCAAAAGGCATATTTTGAACCTTAGCGTGGGATAATTTTTTCCGCTAGCTTGTACCAAGTGTAGTGGTAATAAGCGTTTTTTTTTTGCCTTTTTGACACCAAAGTGAGTTTGCACAGTATATTTTGCCAGTCGTATGTGTGCTACGACTGTATAATACTTCATATGTTGCTCAGCTATGTCGGCTGAGTACAGAAACACCCCCGTATGTACCTTTGCCAGGTATATGTGGACATTGCAGGGGCACATTTGAGACACAGCCATTCCAGTTTTTTTCAAACTTTGAATTTTTACACTGTGTCCATGTCCCATTTGTGAGTATTTTACAAGGCTATGTAATCCAATTACCCCATAAAGGCATACCATTTCTTATAGAAGACATCCCAGGTCAATTCAAAAGGCATATTTTGAACCTTAGCGTGGGATCATTTTTCCGCTAGCTTGTACCAAGTGTAGTGATAATAAGCATTTTTTCTGCCTTTTTGACACAGAAAGTAAGTTTGCTCAGTATATTTTGCAAACCTTACGTGTACTACGACTGTATACTACTTCATATGTTGCTCATCTATGTCGGCTGAGTACAGCAATACCCCCGTATGTACCTTTGCCAGGTATATGTGGACATTGAAGGGGCACATTTGAGACACAGCCATTCCAGTTTTTTTTCAAACTTTGAATTTTTACGCTGTGTCCAGGTCCCATTTTAGAGTATTTTACAAGGCTATATAATCCAATTACACCATAAAGGCATACCATTTCTTAAAGAAGACATCCCAGGGTAATTCAAAAGGCATATTTTGAACCTTAGTGTGGGATAATTTTTCCGCTAGCTTGTACCAAGTGTAGTGGTAATGAGAATGTTTTTATGTATTTTTTTTACTTTGTAAAGCCTGTTTTTAAACTTTTTTTTTACTTATTAAATGTTTTACACTTTCTTAACTTTTTTACTCTTTTAATTTTTTTCTAAACTTTTATTTTACCGTTAACCCCTAACTAGCAGTAAGCAGTAAGCAGCACTAACAGTAAATTCCCCCCTTTCCCATAACTCCCACCCACTCCAGCTAGCAAAATATATATAATTATAAAATATTTAAATTAATTAATTAAATAAATTAAACCCCTGAGGGTTAAAAAATAAATAAAAGTTAATCCTCAGGGGTTAAAAGAAATTAGATTACAGTATAATACTGTGATCTGTATTTTGATCACTGTAGGCAGTGATCAACTGGTAGGGAAGGGATACATTTTTATTTAGACTAGGTAAAGGGGGTGGTATTTTTTTTAACTTAAATATTACTAAAACTTTTTAAAAACTTTTTTACCTTTTTAAAGCTTATTTTAAAACTTTTTTTAACGTTAACCCCTGGTTAGTCTAACACCAAATTCCCCAATTCCCCACTAACTTCCACCCATCCCAGCTAGTTAAATATATAATTTTTAAATATTTAACTTAATTAATAAAATAAATGTAACCTTTTGAGGGTTAAAAAAAAATAATTAACCCTCAGAGGTTAAAAAAAAAAATCAGATGACATTAAAATGTATACCCTGCCAATTGATCACTGTAGTCAGTGATCAATTGGCAGGGAAGGGGTTAATTTTATTAAAGCAGGGGAAAGGGGGGTGGGATTTAATTTTTTTTTTTACACAGGGAGAAGATCAGCAGCACTGATCCGTCTCCCTGCACTTTACACAGAACCCGGATGTGCAGGGAGGGAGAAGGTAAGTACACTGAGCACATGTGCTCGCTCTGACAGAGCACTGCTGCAGGGGCAGCCCGATCGGGTGCTCCCAGTCTGCCTCTAATACATAGGCAGCTTGGAGCACCGTTAACTTTAGTAAATGACGGAAATTTTCCATCAACGGTCCTTAACTGAAGGACAAGGTTGACGGAAAATTTACGTCTGCGGTCGGGAAGGGGTTAAAGTCATATTGCATTGAAAGATATATACAGTCATGGGAAAAAGAAAGTACACACTCTTTTAAAATATGATTTTACATATTAGGATACAATACAAATCATTTGTTCCTTATCAGGTCTTAAAATTAGGTAAATGCATCCTCAGATGAAAAACAAGACGTGACATATTACACCAGAGAGTTTATTGTGGTCTATTCACAATATATATATATATTTACTATGCATGTGTAACAGTACAAATCATTGTAACATCATAAAATAAAAAATATTGGAAAATCAGATTTAATTAATAAAAACAAAGAGATGAGTGAAATCCTTTTTTACATCCATTTTTAAATTATTATGTAAGAATGAGAGAGCATAGTTGTCTTTATAAATTAAACTTTAACAATTTTAATTGCAGTGTAGTCTGCTAGACCCATTTTTAAAATTTTAAACATAACATTAAACTGTTATAAAAATGGCAATTTATCAATTTATCAAGTCATCAAGAAAATAATATCTAAGGATGTTGAACAAGGTGGTTTACATAAAAAATAAAAGAATATAGGATATGGTACAGGTGAGTAATGATGAGGTATTGTTTTGACAGCTACTTGAATTGTAATTCTAGGAGAATATCATGCTTTGTATTCCAGGAAAAGTGTAAATTTGTATTTGTATAGATATATCAAGAGTAAGAATATACTTCCCCAAAATTGGATTTGTTGTAACTTCGGATACCATGTGTAACAATGCATATATCAGAACTAGTCAGAATAGGTTTTTTTTTTAGATATATTCACTGTTGTTGAGCTTGGCTGGTTCTAGACATCGAGGAATGTTTTTACATAGCTACATAGGTAACTGTTAACTTTAATTTTACCACATGACAGGAGGCTTCCTATTTTGCATTAACTTTCTTTACTTTACTCCAGCAGCAAAGTATTAACCAATCAAAAAGAAGAAACACAGAGTATATAAGTCTAAGTCCGCCCATCCACATCCTCTTTCTTTTCTGCTCCAGTGGGATACAGGTCAGAGTACTCACTCTGGCTGTTAAATTTTACAGTGTTTATTTCTACTGAATGTTATCTGTTCTAATATTTTCTGCTATCTAGTTTACTGTCATTGTGCCCCTTTCTCCTTATCCCCACCTGGGTCTCTGTTTTTCCCCCTGCTTGGGGCCTGTCACTGCACTTCCTCAGCTTTTCTATTACCTCAGCTTGATTTTCGCGGCACGCGACCGCCGGTTTTCCCGTGGTTGCTGCGCTCTGTTGACTGTCTCTGTGGGGGGGAAGAGAGAGCTTCTTGCTGGGTGGTTGGGACGCTTGCAACACTGCTGAGGCCCCGGCGGGTCCTCACTCGTGCGATGGCCGCCATCTTGGGTCTTGTGAAAACGCGATCCTGGCGGCGACCATCTTGGATTTCGTTTTTTCATTTCAGACCAGACCAATACAGCTCTGCCTACAGCACAGACAATCCTATTACAGGACCATTGATATTTTCAGGTGCCTGTTTCTTTACACTGTCTTACTTTACATTGCATAATGTGTTTATTACATACTGTAACATTGCAGTAACTACTGAATATGACTTCCACATAATTAAGCATCTATGATGCTTATTGTGCAGGCTACTGTAAAATGTTAAATACAGCTGCACGCAGGGGTGAGCCCTCTGCAATACTGTTGGGGTGAGCCCCCACATAACCTTTTTTCAACTGACAGTGGTACCTAACACAGACAATTTGATTAGGGTGAGTCCCCACTAACTGTACCTCCCCGCAGTATCGGGGACTTAGGGGTTCTCTCCCCCTCTGGCTATTTGAGTCTATCAACGTCTCCCCATATATACAAGGGTATATACAAGATAATCCCCTTTTCATTATATGCCCCTCTATTCACCAGCACTACGGCCGATTATTATAACTACTTATATCTCCAATAATAAAATACGGCCTCTGTGGCAAGCCCCAATACAAACATTGCAGGGGGGTACCCCCTGACGGGCCCGGCTTATACTAAGCTGCTTCTAAAGCGGTGTCCTCTTCTTTTCAGGACGACCCGTGGTACACCATGTCGGACTCACCACAGCAGACTCAAGACTTTCAGTCCATAATAAACGCTGCAGTTGTGGCCTCCATGGAAAAGGCCATTTCAAAAATATTGACGCACCTCCCTCCAGAAAACCCCACCCAGGGGATAACGGCCCAGGACACGGAGGAGCAAGCGAGGCAAAAAGAGCCTAATGGGCCCTAAAACAAAAGACAAGGGGCCGGTAAAACGCCCCAGACATGTGGCCTTGCCAGAACATCTACTACCCATGCTGTCATCGGAGGAGGAGGATGACTACCTACCCACCTCCCTAGATGTGGTAGATGAATGGCGGGCAGAGGACTCCGATTCTGACCGAGAGGCAAAATGGCAGGATGTCCCATTCTCGGAGCTTGGCTTCACAGGGGACTCCTATGCGGAAGGTTACCTGGACGAAGAGGATGACTTCACCACTGAGAGTGAAGACCTCTTCTTGGACACCAAGGGCTCCCCACTGTTTGATCCTAGGACAATTAGACACTCCAGGTCCTCTGAATGGAGCCTACCGACTCACCTAGCCAAGTTCGTACATTATTGGCTCAGGAAACCCCTAGACCGGGTAGTACGAATTCGCCTGTGGGCAAAATGCCCCTGACCCACGCTCCCGGGCAAGATCGCAGTAACACCCGTGTTTTACGAGACGATGGTGGTGTTTATGTCTCGGACAGGACGCGACCCTTGCAGGGGTATTGAAAGAGGGCTAAAGGCAATGCAAGATTAATTACTTGATTTACTGGGCCCACTTAGCAAGATATTATACTTTGCAGACCTGGCAGTAGCCCAAAACACCCAACTTGACCCAGGAACAATCCGGGAATGGGCCCAAGGAGACATCTGCATGCTGGGCAACACCAATGCAGCCCTCTGCACTGAAAGACAATGAGCCGCCCAACTGCGCATTGACACTAAACTAAGTAATATGGCCTCCAAGGAATTTGGTCTTATGGCTGATGGCCTATTATTTGGCAAATCATTCATCACAGAAATGAAGAGACACGTATCGTTATTTACGACCCTCAACAGCGCTCAGTCATCTCTGACAAGTGTTCCGCCCACCTCCATCTAGAGGTGTTTTTATACTCTGTCACAACAATACTATCACTGCAGGCAGTTTGTCCCTTTTCTTACAGAACTGGGAAGAGATATCCACGGACGCATGGATCCTGCAGACAGTACGGGGCTACGTCATCGAATTCTATGCCCCTCCCTACCAGAAGTATCTACTGCCACCACTTCGGGTGGCCAAAGATCACGAGAGGCTTATAAACGAGGAAATTCGCTCTCTGTTCTCCAAAGGCGTGGTACAATACGCAGAGGACGATTGCGGCTTCTTCAGCAATATCTTTTTGGTCCAGAAAGAGACCTGAGATTTCCGCCCGGTTATAAACCTAAGGCATCTTATCTCTTTTGTGATATACCGCTACTTCAAAATGGAGGGAATCCATCTTCTACAAGATCTCCTGTCGAAGGGCGACTGGTTTACCCATCTAGATCTCTAAGATGCCTAGCTATCAGTACCGGTGGACCCTTCCTGCCGAAAGTTCCTCCGCTTTCACTGGCAAGGCACACCATGCAACTTCACATGCCTTCACTTCGGACTCAGCTCGGCACCATGGTGCTTCACAAAACTGCTGAAACCGGTTATGGCTCGACTCCATTCCACAGGTATAAGATGTATAATTTACCTGGACGATTTACTGAATTTCTGCGATTCCGTGTCACGACTACAATCTCAGATGAAATTCACCACACAAGTACTCAAATCCTTGGGCTTCATAGTCAACACAGACAAATCGGCACCGACACTGACCCAAATCATCCAATTCCTGGGATTCCAAATAGATTCAAATACGTGTGTACTACGCCTACCTCTTCACAAAATAAAAGCCATTTGGAAGGAAATTCGGAAGTTGTTACGGATGACTCAGATTCCCCTTGATTACTGGCGAGGATCGTCGGCCTTCTCTCAGCATCGAAACAGGCAATTTGCCTTGGCCCCCTCCACTATTGGGCCATGCAGAGAACAAAGGCACACTACCTACGTTCAGGTTTCTAATACGACCAATACATCCCACTCAACAACGAAGTATGGACAGAGCTCCATTGGTGGCTTCGTCACATGCAAGCGTGGAACAGGAAAGCCATATTCGGCCCATCACCAAATTTCGTGGTAGAGTCGGATGCCAGCCTATGGGGCTGGGGAGCACACTGCACAGAATCCTCCACGGGAGGACCTTTGCTGCATGAGGAGACCGATCTACATATCAATTGCTTGGAACTAATTGCAGGGTCCTTCGCCATTCGCAGTCTAGCTTGCAACATGTCTGATTGCTGCATCCTCCTACGCATGGACAACATCTCAGCTGTCCAATATTTCAACCGACTGGGTGGTGCTCACTCTCAGGCCCTATTGGAAGTGATCAAGGACATCTACAGCTTTTGTCTTCCCTGCAATATAACTCTACGGGCAGACCTAACAGGAATATCCAATTGCACGGCGGATTGGTACTCGCGACACTGAAGGGACAACAGCGACTGGCGCCTTCACGAGACGATCTTCTACAGGCTAGCCGCCTGCAGGGGACCATTCCATCTCGATCTCTTCGCCTCCCGGACCAACCGTCAACTTTCAAGGTTCTTCCTTAATTATGTGGAAGTCATATTCAGTAGTTACTGCAATGTTACAGTATGTAATAAACACATTATGCAATGTAAAGTAAGACAGTGTAAAGAAACAGACCTGGAAAGCGAGGCAGTAGACGCATTTCTCCAGCGGTGGTCATCGACCGGTGCCTACGCCTTTCCCCCATTCTCCATGTTGGCGAGGGTTCTCCATCAAGCTCGAACTCAGAGAACCTCACTGCTGCTCATAGCACCATTCTGGCCAAGCCAGGCGTGGTTCCCGGATCTACTGGACCTATCGTTCGAGGACCCGCTCCTCATACCCTCATTCCCTCACCTACTAACCGACACGCAGGGAATTCAGCAACAACTTATCCTCCAAGACTGGCTGGAACTCGTGGCTTGGACGATTTCAGGGGTTCCTGGTCGACCGATGGCCTATCGCAGGTCATTAGGGACCTATTGTGGAACGCGTGGGCGCCAGGTACTAGGTGCTGTTACATCAATGCCTGGAACAAATGGACTAGCTGGTGTTTGGAACGAGACTCCAATCCCTTTACGGCACCTATTCCCATAGTTCTCAATTTCCTCTCACAATTCTTTTCATCAGGACTAGCTTATCGCTCCATCAACGTCTAACGCTATGCCATTTCTGCGGCCTGTGTCCCAATCCTGGGCCTACCGGTATGTCAAGACCCACTGGTTTGTAGACTGCTCCATGGAATCAAGTTATCACGTCCCCCGGCACCGAAATACACACGCCTCTGGGATGTCAACATTGTCCTACATTTCCTTCCCGAATGGCCGGACAACTCGTCGCTATCATTACGACAACTCTCTGCGAAACTTACACTTTTGCTATGTTTAGTATCTTTTCGTCGGGTCTCCGACGTACGGGGCCTTTTGACGTGGATGGAATCTCCTTTACTCCAGGAGGGGTAGTTTTTTCGGTTTCACGTCGCACTAAGACTGACTTTACAATGGCTTTCTACCCCTTTTTCTCTCAAGACCCTCAACTCTGCGTGGTAAAAACATTGCTACGGTACATAGAGAGGACGGCTCCGCTATGTACCTCCTCCAAGGGGCAATTACTCATATCGTATGTCCCTCCCCACCGATCGGTAACTACCACTACGTTGGCTAGATGGGTATGGTGGCTCCTATCTCTAGCAGGCGTCGAACCTTGTTTCGGAGCACATTCGGTATGTGGCGCGGCTGCATCGCAGGCTTTTGCTTCGGGCACTGGGGAGTTACTAGGCACTCAAGAGAAGCTTGGCTCCATATATCATGATGCGACCTGAACCCTTTACCTTGCGGTCTAGCATAGGACAAGCTGGGAGTGGCGGCTGACCTCTCTGGCAAGACTTCATGGGCTGATCTTTGGCCAAGTGCCGTATCCTTCCCCCTTGGACCAGTGGGGGTTATCCCGGTCCATGCTGGCATAACGATTGGCTGCCTGAGTTACTTACCTATTCTGACTCCTGAACTCTGCTTCTGAATCTACTTTCACACCTGCAAATCTCACCAAGATGGTGGGTGCACCAAATCCTAATGAGAGCACCACTATCAAGCAGTAGGGAACTCCCCATGATATAGCAAACCCTGCATAATATAGTAGCACTTTAGACTGTGCTACTATATTATGTGTCTATGTACTTTACATAGGCATGGACGTTTACCTTCTACTATTCTACATGGGTGAGTTACCTAAACGGACTCGGAATCTATCCATACCAGAGCTAGGTTTCGTAGCTCTCTGTTTGTGAGTGTTTTACACATACACTTTTTTACACCCATTGTTATTTATGATTTGCACTATGTGGCATAATTTGTAATTTTAGGTACCTGGCGTATTTTACTATTAGAAGTACACAGTTAGTTATTTTAAAGGTAATGTTATACATATGCTTGTGAGTGTTTACAGTTTAAATTTGGCTGGTTTATTGCATCAAGAAAATAGGACAATTATAACCATTTTGTAAGAGGCAACAAGTGGTAAGTGTTTCTTATTACTATTGAACGTTTATATGACAGCATTTATGGTAAGGGAAAGGAGATATTTTAAATAATGAGATTTATTATGGTATTGTGATATTGTGTGTATCTCAAACTAGAGTAGAAATAGAGCATGGTAAGTTTGGAATAACTGTGGGTGCATATCACAGAGTCAAAGATATTCTATACTTTGACTGCATTAAAAGATATCTTACCAGTTTAAATATAATGTAATAATTAAAAAAAAAAAAAAAAAAGCAGACCATAGGTACAATAAAGTACAATATTTCTCTTTAAGGTCCAAGAAAAAAAATGAGGATTTGGTCATAGGTATTTTTAATGGTATGGAAGTTGACTTCTTTAAAATGTGTCTAAACTGTTTGGATATAATATCATAATTGCAAAAATAGGCAAACCATGGAGACGATAAAGTGGAACATTTTACTTTAAGGTCCACTTGGAAAAATGGTTTTCTAAAAATATACTTCTAAAGCCACAGTCCACTCATTTTGTGAAAGTGTAGTCAACGTTAAAAAAAAATGCAACAA